GTGAACGTACGATTAATTTGAAAAGATATTCTAATTGTTTTAACATTTTTACACAATATGAAGTCATATTTAAATCAGATTTATTATGTTCAACATATTTTGTCAACGTTATATTGATCAAATGAAGTAGAATACTAAAAATAAAAAAGATTGAAGATTCTGTAGCATTGTGATAGAACTCTTATAAGAAATCTTGGAATTTTAAGAAATTTCCCTGTATGATATTTTCCTTTACTTAAAAGCAAACACGAAAAATACTAAATTGTCATTCCTGATCCATGCCTGGTATTTTCCGGTTACCGAAATTCTCGTCAATAGGAGATTCGCCAATTGTCAACATTTCAGGAGGTCTATTCTCATGAATTAGACGTTGTTTTTCATTCGTTGTACTATTTTCAGAAGATTCTCGAATTTTCGCGAACTAGCCTTTTCACCAGTGTTATTACAGTTGGCAAAAATCCACTGGGCTTAAGCCAAATCACGCCTGAACTTTCGCTAATTGGCGAATGTCTATTGCAGTTTCGCCAACAAACGTCCTACACTTTCGCTAATGACGAAAAGACAGTAAGCCTAATAAAATATGTCTGCTAATTGGAACAGTCCAGACTTATATGTATTAGTGATTAGCATACTATTTATTTTATCAATCTAGTTAAGTTAGCTTTGATATTATGACAGACTTTTAATGACTTACTTATAGGTTAATGTTGAACTGAATTTATTCTTAATATAATCATCAAGAACTGTTCGAAATGATTCAAATTGTTTCATTGAAATTAAATCCAATATACAAATCTATGGAAAATTTTTCTTATATATATTCTTGATCTATAAAAAAAGTAATGACTTACTAAAGCATGAAATGCTGTTTGATGAATTTTATTTAAATCAATTGGAATAGAAAATTGTTCTTGATCTCGTGTTTTTAATTCATTTTCTTGTGAAGTTAATATTTCAAATAATTTATCAAAAATATTTTGTAAATTTTTCACAACTTCTGTTGCACGATCAATAATATCCGATGGTAATGTCATATTAATTATTCGTTGTTCAGATGAATTTGTATCAGACATATTTATTCCACCGAGATGATCAACAAATTTATCAAGTAATTCAAGTAAATAAATTGATGAATCTTTTGGTGTCCATGTTAATAATGTTAAAATAATAGCTGAAAAATAAAACGGATAATTATTAGAAAAAGAAATATCTTTATTTTTACGTATTTGTGTTAATTGTGTTGATACAACTTTAACTTTAACTAGAAAATGTTCACGATAACTTGGTGAAAAATAATCCGATGGTTGATAAAAACGTGATGAAGCTTCATCAAGTGATAAACGATGTGAACCATTATAAGAATCTTTTGTTAGATTGATAGGTGCACTTATTTGTACAGCTTGTAAATTTATATATCCTGATAAATTCACATCAGATTTACGTTGCATTATCTAAAGTTTATTTATATTTAATAATCTAATTAAATTTTAATACAAACTTTGTAAACAACTAAATGTCGATGTCCATCTTGAATAACTGTTCCTGCTTTTTCAATTAATGGTAAAAATGCTAATGCAAATGGTTTCTCAGATTTATCTTTTACTAAAAAAAACAATAAACGTCATTTCTTTTTCTTTGAAAAATCTATCGATTTTACCATCATTTGAATGACGTTGTTTAAATAAAAATCGAACATGATATTGACGCATATCTTCTGCACTGATAGAAAATGGAATAGCAATCTGAAATAAAATATTGTTCATTTTTTCTCTCCTTATAACAATATATATCATACTCGGAATGTTTCACTCCATTTTGGTTTATCTGTTTTTATACAAACAATCGAACGATGATAAAGATCACTTGTACAATTAACACCAACATTTAATAAACCCTAGAAAGTTAAACAATATTATATTGTATGAATTATTTTGTTTAATATACCGGAATTGCATTTTCATTTTCATCACAAAGTTCAGCTGTATATTCATAATTTCCACTTTTATTAAATTCAGCTCCATAAATAGTTACATAAATATCATTTCGAAGATCATCAGCATTAATTACTTCAGGAAAATCAAGTTTCCGACATACACATACATCACCATGTAATAAATGTGGATAATCTGTTTTTAACTATATCAAAAAACAAGTTTGTATATAAAATTAATTCAAATATATATTTACTTCACGAAATCCACCAGTTAAAATTTGTAATTTTAATTTATGTTTTTTTAATAATTCGATATCATTTGATTTCGTTGTTTTTTGAAAAATAGAAACAAGTGTATCACGATCATCCCACCTATTTATATAAAAAATTAAATTTCGATTATAAAAAAAAACCAATCGATTTACATATTAAAGCCAAATGGAACAATAAGTTCTTTTTCTGATGGGGATGCTTTCATACGACTATGACAATCAAGTTGTTGCGACATATTAATCACTTAAAAAAAGATATTTTATTATTATTGTAATGAGAAAAGAAAGTCAATCTTACGTGCAACCATATATGGTCGACGTAAATCATTTGTTTCATTTTTTGTTTTCTTTAAAGTATTACTATTTCCATCAGATGTATCTTTATTAGTATCACTAATATACATTGGGCCAATTCGAATAATATATAACACTAAAAATTTAATAGATGGTATCGACATAAGTGTCATAGATTTCATTGGACGTGAACGAGTAATATCTGTAAAAGCAACTGTATGTTCTTGTGTACGAAGTGCTTCTTTATCTCGAATAACAAATGTTTCACTTAAATTACAAAAAACAAATATTAAATTATAAGATAATTTCTTCATACCTCGGTATTAATTCAACACCACTTTCATCTGATGAATAATCATATAAAGTACACCATAATTCAATATTATCAGATATTGTTATATCAAGTTTATCCAATGTAACTAACATCGATTGAGTATTAGCTAATTGAAAATCAGGATGTGGACGAGGTTTTTCTACCTAAATAATTTTTTTTAGGAAAACAAAGAATATTTTCAATTTAAAACAATTATTTACATCATGTAATGATTTCTTTTCAATACGCATTAATGAATGAAGTAAATCATGTGTACTTGTATCAGATGGATTGGCAATATTTAAATTTTTATCACGTATAATTAGATCAAGTTGTAAAAGTCTGATAAAATAAATATTTAAATCAATTTAAATACATATAAATATATTTATCTACCGTGTGCCTTGATCAATTAAATCTACAATTGTTTGTTTTAGCTCAATTAATTCTTCCTAAAATATATCGATGAAAAAAAATAATAATATTTTTAATAGAAAATCAAACTTGTGTATGTGAAAAACACATTAATCGATGACGATGTCGTATGAGATCAGTCATTAATTTCGATACTATATTAACTTTAACTTTTTGATCATCCTGAAAAAAATAGGTTATTATTACTCTTAAATCTTTAGTATATATTTACTTTATAAAATTGTTCGATATGATGAGCTTAATAAAACATTTGAAAATAAATTATTATATATATATATATATATAAATACGTACCCCATTCTCGTAAGATTCCAATTAGATCGCTAGTAAGAGAATCTTCATTTGTAAAACTTGTAATTCTAATTAAATGAATTAAATAAAGATTTGATAAGAAATTTAATCATATTTACTGATTATTATCAACAATGACTGGTTTTAAATAGATAAAACTTTTTGGAAATATCCCAGATACTTGAGGTTTATTAGCTAATGATCCAAAATACCATTCTAAAATAATAAATTCACATTTTATTCTTCTTACATATGAAATTATTCATTATTTTCGATTTACCATCACATTCTTCGCGTACATGTACACTATCACCTAATAATAGAGATAATTGATCTGGTGATGAAGCAGTAAATGAACATATTGCTTTAAAAAAATAATTAATACAATTCTTCAATGAATAGAAATACTCTCTTACCAACACCATAATGAAAAATAGGATTAGAAAGTTTGTCTCTAAATTTTTCCCAAGTACTCATCTAGAAATACAAAAAAAAATGAATATATTAAACAATCAAATTTAATCACGTATTTAGTAATCATTCAAAGAAGAATTATTAAAAATAGCGGACGCGAATTAATTACTCATAGTGCACAATGTCGTTGTCTTTCCATATCTGTAATCAAAAGAAATAATATTTAAATACTTCTTTTTCAAAAATCTATGTATAAAATAAAATGAATTCTTAAATATATTGTTTCTTTGCGCTATGTACATATTCATTATAATAATTACTACTAGTTTTTTATTTCAAACAATCGGCTGACAAGGTCAAACTTTACCTTTGAGTTCTAAAAAAAGACAGAATACTTCAAAAAAACGAGTATATATTAGAATATTTTACATGTGTAGATTCAACCATCATTTATATTCTTATTGTCTGATTAAAGCAAACATGTACGAAAAGGTCATTATCAATTACATATTTCATCTAATCAGACATGGTTTCTTTTGTACGTGTTCGATGTAATTCAATATGAAACAACAGACGGTAACCTAAGATGAGAAGTATAGACATTTGATTTTTTTTTAAAGATTACAAAACTTACCAAGTTATTTATGTAGAAAAATCATTAATTTTAACTTTGTAAATTTATAAATAATCTATTATTAAAATAAGAAAAAGAAAGAATAGAATATATTCTTATAAACTTTTATCATCTAGATTAATTTCATTAGTCAGTTAAGCAAATATATAAATCAATACGATCATAATCAGATTTATTTTTTATTTAAACATATTTCAGCTAAATGACAAATAGTTTTTAGAAAAAAAGAAAATTATATTTTGAGTAATTGTTTTTATAAAGTGCAGAAAATAACTCATGTAAAGAAAAACATTTGATTTGACATTTTTTCACAGGTAATTTAATTATTATATAATAGTCAACAGAAAAAAAAAACGCATATACAGAAGAAGAAAAGGAAAGAAAAACAAGCAAAAGCAATTATCAGATGATTATTTAGTCATAAACTGGTTTGAAATTTGAAGCAATGGTAGCGCCGAGTGCTGTACCACCTCGACGTGGTGTCAAATTTCCAATATCAGTCATTCCACTTGATACAGATTCATTTCGTGGTGTACGTGGTGAATGTATGCCATCATAAAGACTATTATGACTTGCACTCTGACGAAGTTTATCACGAAGCATTGCTAAATGTTGATGACGTTCATCAAGTTTGGTTGTAGTTGTGTTTGATTCAGGTGTAGGTGATACTACTGGTTTTGTTATTGGTCGTTGACCTAATCTTGATGATGCTAATCGACGTGCTTCTTCAATTTCCTTTAAGAAATAATAATTAATAAATTGATATTAAGTAAATTTTTTTATTATTTTACTTGTCGTTTACGTGAAGCACGTTCTTGTTTTGCAGCTAATTTAGCTTGTAAATCAGGATCAATAGTAGGTGTTGGTTTATTAACAGCAGCAAGAAATTTTGGAGCATTTCGTAATGGTGCTAAACTACCTGGTTTTGGTGTAGCAATAATATCAAATGTTTCACCATAGCCTAAACGAGATTTTTTTTGATGTTCAACTTGTAAATTATCAATTGGTACTGGAAGTCTTGGTGGTAGAGGCTTAGCTAAATAAAATAAGAATAATTTTTAATTTTGATCAAGAAAAATTTGTAACTTACATCTAATAGGGTCAGAATCTTCGATACCACTATCAGCTGATCCATTTGATTTAGCTGAAGATGCTTTCTTTTTTGTATGTTGATCAATAGGAGGTAAAACAGATTTTTTATTTAATGTTGGTTCTTGTACACGCGATGTATCACTACTTGCACCACAACCCATGATGTCTTTTTTTTTCTTATGATATAACAAATGTAAAAACTGTCGATTGTTTTTGATCTATCTGTTTTGTTGCATTCGAGCCTTTAAATTTAATTTTCATTCCATAACAACGGCAAACATAACAACACGCGACACACAACAACAGTTGCAGTGGATGTCAGGTAATATTGTTTGAAAGTATTGTTTCCTTTTCTTTCTCCTTTTTTTTTGTTTCTTCATTCTGTATTTTTTATATTTAAGTAATACGTTGTTGTCGTCATCGCCCTAAGAAAATATTTTTAAGGATTGACAAAAAAAAAGAAAGAATTATAAAAGAAAAAACAAGTGATACATGTCGTTTTGATATATTTAATAAAAAAATTCTTTCTAAACAAGCCATTTATAAAGAACAAACATAACAATAAGGGTTACAAGCATTCCACCGAATAAAATCCACCAATCACTTGCTGTACGTCGTTCAATTGAATGAATAACAGTTGATGATAGTCCAAGCAAATTTGCCATTGAAATCATTTTTTTATGAATGTTTTTAAGATTTAAGCCTTGAGTTCGCATACTATCGAGGGTAGCACGTGCTTGATCAAGATAATTATCAACGAGATTATGAGTTGAATCAAGTCGTTGAGAATAATCTAATGTACGATCATCAAGATTTATATGTGTTGCACCATTTGAATCAACATTTGATGGCGTAAATTTACGATGTAGTAATAATTCTCGATCACGTTCAGCTTCATCGCGTTGTTGTTTTTTAAGACTTATGCCACTGAGTGCACTCTAATGAAAAAAATACAACAAGAAATTTTACAAAATGACGATATTTTCTAATCAATGTCTTTAAAGAAAAGATTCGTTTTTTCTCTAATATGGCATCAGATAAACTCATTTCAATCTATACGTATTCATTAATAAAATATTGAAAATGAATAATACATTGTCATGTTGTATTTTATTCTAATGACTAATTAAGATATATTACTATGAACTATTTGATAGTATTAAAGTAAAAAAGAACATACTTGCAAATGTCTCATGTCATATTTAATTTCATCAACACGTTGTTTTGAATGTGGGCGTCTTTGTGCAGGTTCTTTATTAACAAGTATATCAAGCCGATTGCATGCTTCTGTTAATTGTTGAAATTTACCGCTAATAACATTAGTACAATTTGAATCGGTTTCACGATCTTGTGAATTTTCATATGAAAGTAAATCATGGTGAATTTCTTGAAGCACAATTTTTGTTTGAGTAAGAAGAGATTCCATTTGTATTAATTAGACAATTAATCGAAAACAATAAATATAGATGGAATTTGAGTCAACGTGTCAGGATAAAACTTCTATACTTGATTGATGCTTAACTAAATGCCAATCAATATTTATATAACTACCTCAATATGAAAAGATGACGCTAGAGGATGATGATGGCACTGAAAAAGATAAATAGGTTGTTCAAGTAAAAATAAAGATATCACTCTACAATTCAATACAACTATCAATTTTTGAATGATAATTCATATTTTACTTGATCAAAAGCAATTAATTCGAACATCTATGCCAAATCTGACCAAGTTATATATTCAATAATCTAAAACTTTTATTGTATAATTTCAGTGTTCGTTCCAAGAGAAAACAAGACAGTTTTGGTTATTACAGGTTAACCTTTCATCCTGTTCAAGTAATTCATAATGTTTATCGAGGATTCGAAAGACAACGTATTAAAGATTATAAATAGTAATCCAACAAATAACATTATTTTAAATCAAGGAATAGCTAAACATGTTGAAATGATCCATAATTATATCAATGTAAACAGAATATTCTTATTGCACAATTCATAATCACATATTTGCATTCAGTCTTAACCGTCCGCCGGTATTTTTGGGCCTAAGAGACCCATACCAACGTTTTTTTCTACTTTAAGATCTATGCAATTCGGAGTGATCTTCTAATGATGCATAAGAACCATATAAAATTTCTTGCCAAACCATCAGCAGTTAAGAACTATACTATGAGTCCGCTGGGACCCTCTGACAATATTCATGTTATATAGATGCTTTTAATTCGTATTACGTATGCCTTCTATTTTTTCGAAGGTCTATCTATTGAAGAGTGATTAGTTTGTTGCTGCCAGTAAGGAATAATGTGTTTCTCTATCCTTATTTATCTATCGAAATATTTTCACCATCTTCGTAACTTTTGCTCACGATAATCGTAATTCTTTTTTTTCTTGAAATATCAGCATCTTACGTATACTACAAGCGTATCAATGCATCAGTGACCTAAAATAAATCATGATATAGACATCGATCTATCTTATATAGCACAATACAAATGAAAATTCACGTTTTCCTTATGTATTTACATGTGAGTCCATTTGGATCCACATGCATCGTTCGTGTGACAAGAAGCGTACGCTATATGATTAGAACTGGGCGAGTCAAATTATAAAATACACTGATAAATTTTTCATGATGACACAACTACTTCACTCAACATTTTTCAATGAACACAAGAAAACAGTGTCATGAAAGTATAGGATATATATCATCGACACATCTGTTTAACGAATGTTATTATTTTTTGATGAAAGATTCTAATACATTTATTTAATTGAAAGAAGTACTCAAAAACTCATATTTTTATGCATATTAAAATTTTAATTATT